TCACCTAGATTATGCAGCTCAGTTCTGGTCTCCATATTACGGAATGGACATAAATTCGTTAGAAAACATTCAGCGTAGAATGACTAAATTAATACATAGCATTAGAAATCTTCCTTATGAAGAAAGATTGAAGACTCTTAAATAACATTCACTTGTTAGACGAAGAGTGAGGGGAGACATGATCGAAGTGTATAAGTGGAAGATAGGTATTAATAAAAGGGATATTAATAAGGTCTTGAGGATGTCTCTCCAAGAGAGAAGCCGCAGTATTGTATTTAAATTAGAAAGGACATGGGAAAGTATTGGTTTGGAAATAGGGTAGTTGATGAGTGGAACAGTCTACCTAGTTGGGTTATTGAGGCTAGGACTTTGGGTAGTTTCAAATTTAGGTTAGATAAATATATGAGTGAGAGGGGTTGGATTTGAGTGGGACTTGCAAATGAGTGGATAGAGTTATCAGAGCTTATCTCTTGGGTAGCATTGAAAATTAGGTTGGGCAAATATTTTGTTAGTGGGATGGATTGTAAAGGACCTGCCTAGTATGGGCCAACAGGCCTGCTGCAGTGTTCCTCCTTTCTTATGTTCTTATGTTCTTATATATATATTCTGAAATCACCTGTTTACTGTGATCTTATTGCATATATATATATATATATATATATAATATATATATATATATATAATATATATATATATATATATATATATATATATATATATATATATATATATATATTATTACATAATATGGTACAGAAGATTTAAGAGATACATTGTTGATATAAAGGTGGCATATACGGTACATGTTGTTACGTGTGTATCACCGATTATAAGGCGAAAATCTCATCCAGCTCCTTATAGCTGGGGCGTGTGCCCAAAATACAGCAGGCATTACCCCTTTGAACAGCCGCACTGAGCAGCTGGAACAGAAAACTAGCTGCCCTGGGATCCCTAGTTACCCTGATGAGTCTTTTTTCCCAGCTCCTTAAGGAATTTAGATGCACTCTTTCCCCATGAGCCAAGGGTCTCTGAGCCTATGGGAACAAACATATAATGATGGGCAAGTTCTCCATATTTTCTAGACTTTTGGGACTCCCTGAAGCTGGCAGCTGCCCCTCCTTCCTCCCTGGTGTATTGGAGATAGGTATCAGCCAAAGTAGATGCACATGTATAGTCCCACACCACCTGCTTCCCATCTGTCCAGGCTTGAAGGGTGATACCATCTGGACGCTTCTGGCTGCCATCAGATCTGCATAGTTGGGGTGGCTCCATTACTGCTGGGCATCCAGCTGTTGTGAGGCTCCTCTTGATAATGTTATTAACCTCCTCATGTCTTGCAATCTTTCCCTCGGATTTACGGCACACAAGACCATGGTACCCGAATCGGTCTGCTGCTTCACTGCCACAAATACACCTGTGTTCGGTGAGAATAGGGGCGGCAAGTCGAAGGGCAACACCGATGCGGATGGTCTGTGGGTCGAGGCGTGTGCCAAGGCTGGAGTTGGGAACAGCCAACAGAAAGTCCCAAGCATGAGGGGCTCTCACTCCCAGGAGGCAGGCTCTATCCTTCCCTGACACACTCTGAAGCATTGTTGAGGCAATATTTTCCACTATTGGACCATCCCAGTGCGATTGTTTGTAGTTACTGATCTCTGGCTGAAGGAGACTCGAACCTACGAACCTTGGGACAAGGTACGCAGTACTTTACCAATCTACCCACACTGGACCAATACCTTGGAGTCCAGCTTGCGCTAGACTTTGATCCAAGGCAGCCAGCTTTCAGGGAGAAGGCTTACAGCTTTTCATCTCATCCCCTGCATGCATCAGCCTTACTAGAGATATTAACAATGCAAGGAATTCGCAAGAGCAGGCAAAATATACACAAACACTGATCTCATGCAGGGGATGCATGCAGGGGATGAGATGAAAAGCTGTAAGCCTTTTCCCTGAAAGCTGGCTGCCTTGGATCAAAGTCTAGCGCAAGCTGGACTCCAAGGTATTGGTCCAGTGTGGGTAGATTGGTAAAGCACTGCATACCTTGTTCCAAGGTTCGTAGGTTCGAGTCTCCTTCAGCCAGAGATCAGTGTTTGTGTATATTTCGCCTGCTCTTGCGAATTCCTTGCATTGTTAATATCTCTAGTAAGGCTGATGCATGCAGGGGATGAGATGAAAAGCTGTAAGCCTTCTTCCTGAAAGCTGGCTGCCTTGGATCAAAGTCTAGCGCAAGCTGGACTCCAAGGTATTGGTCCAGTGTGGGTAGATTGGTAAAGCACTGCGTACCTTGTTCCAGGGTTCGTAGATTCGAGTCTCCTTCAGTCCTGGTAATGGACAATGCTCCTGCTCATCCTCACGACTTGCAAGAGGAAATTGCAGGGGAGTTTGGTTTCGTTAAGGTGAAATTTTTGCCTCCTAATACAACTCCTCTCCTCCAACCCATGGACCAGCAGGTCTTTTCAAACTTCAAAAAACTCTACACAAAAACAGTGCTTCAAAAGTGCTTTGAAGTGACCTCAGACACTCAGTTGACCCTAAGAGAGTTTTGGAAAGATCACTTCAATATCCTCAGTTGTGTAACCCTTATGGGTAAGGCTTGGGAGGGAGTGACTAAGAGGACCTTGAACTCTGCTTGAAGAAAACTGTGGCCAGAATGTGTATAACAGAGGGATGTTGAAGGGTTTGGGGCTAACCCTCAGGAGGCTATGCCAGTAGTGGAAGCTATTGTGTCACTGGGGAAGTCCTTGGGGTTGGAGGTTTGTGACGAGGATGTGGAAGAGTTGATGGAGAACGACGAGGAAGAACTAACCACTGCAGACCTGCAAGAGCTTGATGTGCAACAGCAACAGATCACATCTCAGGAATATTCTTCAGAGCAAGATGAAGAGACACGGAGGAAGATGACTTCATCAAGGATTAGGGAAATGTGTGCATTGTTTACAAAGGTGCAAGCATTTATCGAAGAATTTTATACTGTCACCGAAGTTGCAAGCTGCATTGGCAACATGTACAATGACACTCTTGTGTCCCATTTTAGGGAAATCCTAAGGGCACGTGAGAAACAGAGCTCTCTGGACAGTTATTTTGTGCGACAGGGGTCCAGTGGCTCTCAAGCTGGTCCTAGTGGCATTAAAAAACCAAGAAGGGAGGTAACCCCCACCAAAGGACTTGGTACCTGAAGTCCTTCTGGAAGGGGATTCTCCTTCCAAGCAATAGACAATTCTGAATCTGCCCTGCTGCTGGCACATCACTCATCAACAACTCCACAATAAAGGTAAGTGGCATTTAATTATTGTTTATTTTGAATGTCCCATTCCTTTCCACATAAGGAAATGTATATTTCATGTAATTTTTTTTTTCATACTTCGGGGTGTCAGGAACGGATTAATTCTATTTCCATTATTTCTTATCGGGAAAATTAACTCTACCAACGGCAAGCCCTCTGGAACGGATTAATGCCGTTGGTTGTGGGTCCACTACACACACACACACACACACACACACACACACACACACACACACACACACACACACACACATATATATATATGCAGAACAACCACTGTGAAAAAATAGTGAAAGTTGAATCGCTTTCGTGACTTTTCACATTATCAAGTATCTATAAAAATAAAAGGTTAACAGGAAGGCATATTAGGACTTACATAATTTCAGCACGGTTAGTTTTGATGTTACTTCCTTGTTTACAAAAGTTCCAGTTGATGATTTATTAAGTTTCTTATCTGAAGAACTTGTTAATTATGATTTACAATTGCCAGTTCCTACAACCATTAAACTTATTAAACTTTGATTTGTTGATGCAAAATTTGTATTAATGAGTTTTGCACTCAGAATTTTGGTAAGGCAATGGGAAATCGTCTTTTAACTGTTCTTAGGAATTTATACATAGAATTTTGTGAAACAAGTTTGCTTAACACTATCCTTCCTAATAGAGCTAAGTGGTATAGATATGTTGGTGGTATATATATATATATATATATATATATATATATATATATATATATATATATATATATTTATGATGTAATTTTCTAAAATTTGCTGAAATAGTTGACAAGGTCGGGAAATACTGCAAAATATAATTTTTTTACATTTCACGTAAAATATAAAATTTATGTGAATGGTTCAAGTGCGTTTGATGTTATACCCTTTTAAAATTTTAGTTGCAGAGGGAAGTATAAATTTTCCCTGACTTCCCCTTCACTTTATAAGACTCACCCTTTGTGGCACTCCCATTACAACGTTGATCCATACTGGCACCCTCTTCTAATTTTTCAGCACTTTCCCTCCTTTCTAAAGCAGCTTTTCCGAAAATGTCTGACAGTGAGTCAACACCTCACACCGTCACACATAGCAGTACACTCCCTGGGGACTTGTAAGGTAATATTTTATCCCCCCTTTGAGTGCATTCTTTGTCTCCCCACGAAACATTCTCCATATTTCGATGCCGTTTTTATTAAATGTATGCGCATACTGGCGCACATTTTTGTTATCCTTGTTATAGATGGCACTGTAAAGCAACACACTGATCCTTCTTTTATTGGCACTTCCCCCTAACTCTGCCAAACTGGAACATTCTATAGGACATTCTGACTTGGTGAGGCATTACTCAAGACACTTTTCACGGCACTTGTAGAGAGGCTTCCCTTAACACACTCATTAAATATCCTCTGTGAGACACATTCTTCCTCATACTCTCCGAGTTCAACTCATACATTATTCCTGTATGCCGGTGATCAATACCTCAAACCCGAGGGACTAACCTCCTTCTACTGAGAGTGACAGACTGATCACGTCATAAATATATCTCCTGTTTTCAGTATTGCCTTCTCTTGTATTCTACTTAAGCGGTTTATTGCGCGTGCGCAAGATGTCTGCCATATAAATTTCCAAGCGTTACACATGTGTATTATTAATCAACTTGACTGTATTGTATAACAATAATGAGAATTCTGTGTGACACTGACCTGACCGCTAGTGGCACCCACCTGTCCGCCAGTGGCACTGGAGGTCTTGCAGTGGAGGATGACTGAGGCGCCAACCTGGGCAGTGACGACACTGTTGTTGGTGGTCACAAACCTCTCAGCAGCGGTCACCTTATGTTGTCCCGCCTCCACCTGGTTGTTGTTGCTGGTCCAACGAGCTGTACAAACAATCACAAACTCTCATTAGAACATTAATTCACATGATTTCAAAAATTGTTTGATGTGTGTGCGCATGTTGTTTAGTTGTGAGAAAGAATGGCTCTCGATCCTCGCCCTTATTAACACGAGCCGTGATTGTACTTACATGAAGAATGTTACAGTAAGAAAGTTACAGCAATAAAGAGAGGTACACTGTAAAAGAAATCAAGGTTACAGCATTCCTGATGAATGTTATAACACTATTAAATGCTGCAGTAATTGAAGCATACTGAGGCAATAAAAGATCATTATAACAATACAATAACGTTACAGTAATAAAAAATGTTACAGGAATAAAGGAATTACATAACAATATGTAATGTTCCAGCATTATGATATAACAGCATTGCAGAAGTTTTCAGCATTATTGGAAGTCACAGCATTAAGGATAGGTGACTCGTAGCTCAGCGGTATTGCTTTCAGCTCACAACCGATAAGGATGAATTCAATTACGGGCGAGTAGAGACACAAAGACACATTTCCTTGTACCTGTTGCCTTATGTTCAACTAGCAGTAAGTGGGTGCCTGGGTGACAGCTGACTATAGTGCATCGCATCTTGGAGATAGGGAAGTGATATACCTTGGGTAGTGGGTAGCATCCTGGTGAGGGAATGGTAGTATACCTTAGGTAGTGGGTGACATCCTGGGTAGGGAATGGTAGTATACCTTGGGTAGTGGGTAGCATCCTGGTGAGGGAATGGTAGTATACCTTAGGTAGTGGGTGACATCCTGGGTAGGGAATGGTAGTATACCTTGGGTAGTGGGTAGCATCCTGGTGAGGGAAGGGTAGTATACCTTAGGTAGTGGGTAGCATCCTGGTGAGGGAATGGTAGTATACCTTAGGTAGTGGGCAGCATCCTGGTGAGGGAATGGTAGTATACCTTAGGTAGTGGGTAGCATCCTGGTGAGGGAATGGTAGTATACCTCAGGTAGTGGGTGACATCCTGGGGAAGGAATGGTAGTATACCTTGGGTAGTGGGTAGCATCCTGGTGAGGGAATGGTAGTATACCTTGGGTAGTGGGTAGCATCCTGGTGAGGGAGTGGTAGCATACCTTAGGTAGTGGGCAGCATCCTGTTTAGGGAATGGTAGTATACCTTGGGTAGTGGGTAGCATCCTGGTGAGGGAATGGCAGTATACCTTAGGTAGTGGGTGACATCCTGGGGAGGGAATGGTAGTATACCTTGTGTAGTGGGAAGCATCCTGGTGAGGGAATGGTAGTATACCTTAGGTAGTGGGCAGCATCCTGGTGAGGGAATGGTGATATACCTTAGGTAGTGGGCAGCATCCTGTTGAGGGAATGGTAGTATACCTTGGGTAGTGGGCAGCATCCTGGTGAGGGAATGGTAGTATACCTTAGGTAGTGGGTGACATCCTGGGGAGGGAATGGTAGTATACCTTGGGGAGTGAGTAGCATCCTGGTGAAGGAATGGTAGTATACCTTAGGTAGTGGGTGACATCCTGGGGAGGAAATGGGAGTATACCTTGGATAGCAAGAGGCATCCTGGGGAGGGGGATAGTATTCTTTGGATATCGAGCGGCATCCTGGGGAGAGGGGGTGTAGCATCCTTATATAGTGGGTGGCATCTTGGGCTTGGTATACCTTAGGCAATGGGTGGCATCCTGGGTTGGGATGGTATATCTTAGATAATGGGTGGCATCCTGGGTTGTGATGGTATATCTTAGATAATGGGTGGCATCCTGGGTTGGGACGGTATATCTTAGATAACGGGTGGCATCCTGGGTTGGGATGGTATATCTTAGCTAATGGGTGGCATCCTGGGTTGGGACGGTATATCTTAGATAATGGGTGGCATCCTGGGTTGGGACGGAAATATCTTAGATAATGGGTGGCATGCTGGGTTGGGATGGTATATCTTAGATAATGGGTGGCATCCTGGGTTGGGATGGTATATCTTAGATAATGGGTGGCATCCTGGGTTGGGATGGTATATCTTAGATAATGGGTGGCATCCTGGGTTGGGATGGTATATCTTAGATAATGGGTGGCATCCTGGGTTGGGATGGTATATCTTAGATAATGGGTGGCATCCTGGGTTGGGACGGTATATCTTAGATAACGGGTGGCATCCTGGGTCGGGATGGTATATCTTAGCTAATGGGTGGCATCCTGGGTTGGGACGGTATATCTTAGATAATGGGTGGCATCCTGGGTTGGGATGGTATATCTTAGAAAATGGGGGGGAAACCCGGGGTTTGGGACGGTATATCTTAGTTTAATGGGTGGCATCCTGGGTTGGGATGGTTATCTTAGATAAGGGTTTTGGCATCCTGGGTTGGGACGGTATATCTTAGATAATGGGTGGCATCCTGGGTTGGGACGGTATATCTTAGATAATGGGTGGCATCCTGGGTTGGGATGGTATATCTTAGATAATGGGTGGCATCCTGGGTTGGGATGGTATATCTTAGATAATGGGTGGCATCCTGGGGGATGGTAGTATACTTAAAATGGTATTTAGCTTTGAAATGAGCTGAGATGTGATAAAAAAAAAAAACTCATCTTTGCAAATTAGGAAAGCAATATCGGCAAGAAAAGTTACAGTAATAAGGAAAGTTATATCAGTAAGGAAAGTTACATCAGTAAGGAAAATTACAGCAATAAGGAAAGTTACATCAGTAAGGAAAGTTACAACAATAAGGAAAGTTACAGCAATAAGGAAAGTTACATCAGTAAGGAAAGTTACAGCAATAAGGAAAGTTACATCAGTAAGGAAAGTTACAGTAATAAGGAAAGTTACAGCAATAAGGAAAGTTACAGCAATAAGAAAAGTTACAGCAATAAGGAAAGTTACAGCAATAAGGAAAGTTACATCAGTAAGGAAAGTTACAGCAATAAGGAAAGTTACATCAGTAAGGAAAGTTACAGTAATAAGGAAAGTTACAGCAATAAGGAAAGTTACAGCAATAAGAAAAGTTACAGCAATAAGGAAAGTTACAGCAATAAGGAAAGTTACAGCAATAAGGAAAGTTACAGCAATAAGGAAAGTTACAGCAATAAGGAAAGTTACAGCGAAAAGGAAAGTTACAGCAATAAGAAAAGTTACAGCAATAAGGAAAAATTACAGCAATAAGGAAAGTTACAGCAATAAGGAAAGTTACAGCAATAAGGAAAGTTACAGCAATAAGGAAAGTTACAGCAATAAGGAAAGTTAGAAGCAATATGGAAAGTTACAGCAATAAGGAAAGTTACAGCAATAAGGAAAGTTACAGCAATAAGGAAAGTTACAGCAATAAGGAAAGTTACATCAGTAAGAAAAGTTACAGTAATAAGGAAAATTACAGCAGCAATAAGGAAAGTTACAGCAATAAGGAAAGTTACCGCAATAAGGAAAGTTACAGCAATAAGGAAAGTTACAGCAATAAGGAAAGTTACATCAGTAAGGAAAGTTACATCAGAAGGAAAGTTACAGCAATAAGGAAAATTATAACATCAATAAGGAAAGTTACAGCAATAAGGAAAGTTACCACAATAAGGAAAGTTACAGCAATAAGGAGAGTTACAGCAATAAGGAATGTTACAGCAATAAGGAAAGTTTCAGCAATAAGAAAAGTTACAGCAATAAGGAAAGTTACAGCAATAAGGAAGGTTACAGCAATAAGGAAAGTTACAGGAATAAGGAAAGTTACAGCAATAAGGAAAGTTACAGCAATAAGGAAAGTTACAACAATAAGGAAAATTACAGCAATAAGGAAAGTTACAGTAATAAGGAAAGTTACAGCAAAAAGAAAAGTTACAGCAATAAGAAAAGTTACAGCAAAAAGGAAAGTTACAGCAATAAGGAAAGTTACAGCAATAAGGAAAGTTACAGCAATAAGGAAAGTTAAAGCAATACGGAAAGTTACAGGAATAAGGAAAGTTACAGCAATAAGAAATGTTACAGCAATAAGGAAAGTTACAGCAATAAGGAAAGTTACAGCAATAAGGAAAGTTACAGCAATAAGGAAAGTAAAATAAGAAAAGTTACAGCAATAAGAAAAGTTACAGCAAAAAGGAAAGTTGCAGCAATAAGGAAAGTTGCAGCAATAAGGAAAGTTACATCAGTAAGAAAAGTTACAGCAATAAGAAAAATTACAGCAATAAGGAAAGTTACAGCAATAAGGAAAGTTACAGCAATAAGGAAAGTTACCGCAATAAGAAAAGTTACAGCAATAAGGAAAGTTACAGGAATAAGGAAAGTTACAGCAATAAGGGATGTTACAGCAATAAGGAAAGTTACAGCAATAAGGAAAGTTACAGCAATAAGAAAAGTTGCAGCAAAAAGGAAAGTTACAGCAATAAGGAAAGTTACAGCAACAAGGAAAGTTACATCAGTAAGAAAAGTTACAGCAATAATGAAAATTATAACAGCAATAAGGAAAATTACAGCAATAAGGAAAGTTACCGCAATAAAGAAAATTACAGCAGCAATGAGGAAAGTTACAGCAATTAGGAAAGTTACAACAATAAGGAAAGTTACCGCAATAAGGATAGTTACAGCAATAAGGAAAGTTACAGCAATAAGGAAAGTTACATCAGTAAGGAAAATTACAGCAATATGGAAAATTATAACAGCAATAATGAAAGTTACAGCAATAAGGAAAGTTACTGCAATAATGAAAGTTACAGCAATAAGGAAAGTTACAGCAATAAGGAAAGTTACCACAATAAGGAAAGTTACAGCAATAAGGAAAGTTACAGGAATAAGGAAAGTTACAGCAATAACGGATGTTACAGCAATAAGGAAAGTTACAGCAATAAGGAAAGTTACAGCAATAAGAAAAGTTACAGCAATAAGGAAAATTACAGCAGCAATAAGGAAAGTTACAGCAATAAGAAAAGTTACAGCAAAAAAGAACGTTACAGTAATAAGGAAAGTTACAGCAATAAGAAAAATTACAGCAATAAGAAAAGTTACAGCAATAAGGAAGGTTACAGCAATAAGGAAAGTTACAGGGAAGGTTACAGCAATAAGGAAAGTTACAGGAATAATGAAAGTTACAGGAATAAGGAAAGTTACAGGAATAAGGAAAGTTACAGCAATAAGAAAAGATACAGCAATAAGGAAAGTTACAGCAATAAGGAAAGTTACAGCAATAAGAAAAGTTACAGCAATAAGAAAAGTTACAGCAATAAGAAAAGTTACAGCAAAAAGGAAAGTTACAGCAATAAGGAAAGTTGCAGCAATAAGGAAAGTTACAGCAAAAAGGAAAGTTACAGCAATAAAGAAAGTTACAGCAATAAAGAAAGTTACAGCACTATAGAAAGTTGCATCAATAAAAAATAGTTAAATCAATAAGGAAACTTGAAGTCAGACGAGGCGGTGATGCTCAGATCACCAGGTGACGTCACTAGCAACACTTCAATAACAACTTGAAGCTCAGAAACTGAAACTTATACCATGAAAAGAAATAATAACCAAAAAGGCCAACGTGGGTTTAGCTGTGAGCAGCTGAACCCAGGCGAGTCACCCAGAGCAAGAGAGAAAAGAGTTTTTTTCGAGGTTCGATCCTCCGTACACTGAATGTGAGACACAGACTCCGCCATGTTTTACTTTTGTATCGTAAATTGTCTTCGAATTTTAACTCTTCAAGGGAAAGGGACGAGGTAGGGTGGGAAGGAGGTGGAGGGTGCCCTAATAATGGTGAAGGGCTCTTGATGCAAGAAAATGGAGCGGCCCTTTCCCTCTCTCTCTCTCTCTCTCTCTCTCTCTCTCTCTCTCTCTCTCTCTCTCTCTCTCTCTCTCTCTCTCTCTCTCTCTATCAGACCAAACCTGATTACTCACTACCCATACCATTCCCCAGGTTATGTTTAACCTTTCCTATTAAATATCTCATATGAATATACTACTACTACTACTACTACTACTACTACTACTACTAATACCAAATAATATAATAATAATAATAATAATAATAATAATAATAATAATAATAATAATAATAATAATAATATTATATATTATTATTATTATTATTATTATTATTATTATTATTATTATTATTATTATTATTATTATTGGAATTAGAAGCATCCTAATGCAAGTGAAAAGACCAAAGAAAGGCAGGGGAGTGGTGTCGGTATAGCTCCAATTCCTTGGATTAAGACCCTATCGCCTGCATTAAAGGTGTCCTCCCTGAAAGGGTGATATCTCTGAAGATTTCCATTAGTCCGTCGGAGGAAGACGCTGTGAAACAGGGCACTGCGACTTTGAGACAAATAGCCGACTTTATCAAACATTATTAGCCCTCCCCTCTATTTTTAACCTAATTTTTAACTTCCATGTAGGTAGAAATCTACGAATATTGTAAATGTGTTTGAGATCTCAACAACCAACTGCATTTACTTTGCACAGAGATTAAATTCCGTCCAGTTCTTGCAGGGCATTACAAAGAAATACTGAGGAAATTCTTCTCTGTTGAATACCGAGTGAATATAAAGATTGCACGTCAAATATTGAATTGTTTAATGTATTGCAGCCCCTCAGACCTTCATATAATGTAAATGAGATCGCCTCTCTTTGTCTCCGTCTATGACCGGCTTTCTTAGAAATATTAGGTCCATTATATTTCTTGATATATTAATAGTTTCTCTGTTTGTGTCTTTAAGGCTGTCTGTCTGTCTCTGTCATGACTGTCTCTCTGTATGTCTGTCGCTCTCTGATTCTCTCTCTCTCTCTCTCTCTCTCTCTCTCTCTCTCTCTCTCTCTCTCTCTCTCTCTCTCTCTCTCTCTCTCTCTCTCTCTCTCTCTCTCTCTCACTCTCTCTCTCTCTCTCTCTCTCTCTCTCTCTCTCTCTCTCTCTCTCTACTCTCTCTTCCTCTCTCTCTCTCTCTCTCTCTCTCTCTCTCTCTCATCCAGGAACTTGGACACTTCGTAGGAATGGCCAGACAACTGGTTCACGGAAATCAACGCCAGAAAGTGTAAAGTTATGAACAAAGAGGAAGGACAAACCAGGGACCGAGCAGAGCCTAGGTCATACAGAAAGAGAAGGATCTCGGAGTAAACACAGTGCTGAATAATCACAAAAAGTACACATTATCCGAACAGTGAATGCTCTGTATATGGAAGTTATTACAGCAGACTCAGTAAGCAGATTCAAGTGCATGTACAATATAGCCGAAGAGGTTTGAAATCTCTAGAATCACAAAGGTTATGAGAATTGTAAGAAAAGAATTCTAAGAAAAATAAATTACACAAATAGTGAGCATAACGTTTGCAGAAAAACTGTTAGAAAAAAAATATAAAAAAAAGTAAATTAAGAGCTAATAGGACATAGCAAAAAAATCTTCAACAAAAAGTTGAAATAATTCTTTTGGAAAAAATAAGTGGAATGGTGGTTAGGACTTAAATGAGACTTAAACGATATAACGAAGGTTCCTAATGATGTGAATTGAGAAAGATGAAGGATTAGCCTAGCGCTCCAACGTAACGAGGGGAAGGGGGAGGTGGAGCGAGAAGAGAGGAGGGTGGGTTATGCTGGTAGAAAAGGCAGCTGTGTCATTGTTCCATTTTTTGTTGTTGTTGTTGATTTATGTTGGTGGAGGGTGGATATGCATGTTTTCATGTGTTTTTGTCGTCTGATGGGTTACGTTGGTGGGGGAAGAGGGGAGGAGAGAGGGATTTGTGGTAGAGCAGAACTGGTTGTGGGGTGACCAGAATTAATTAATACCTACATGTGAATGCATATTTTAACTTAAACTTTTATTCTTTTACTGTCAACGTCTAGGTGTGGCCACCCATCAGATTACAATATATACTCATTTTCTTTGAAAGATTAAATTATTATTTTCATTTATTTTAATATTAAGATTTGAGAAAAAATCTCTATCTCTTGCGTATTCCATTTTCTTTGTTAAATCTGCTAAAGTAGCATATTAATGAAAGTCTTATTTTAGATAAATGTTGTGGAATATCTTGTTTCAGTGGAGACTTGGGCAGACGTGTACTTATGTTTATTTATGTTTTTAAGATGACTGTTGCATTTGTTTGTGATTTGCTTGCCGGTCTAGAGGACAGTTTGTATTGCATAGGTTCAGCGAGAAAGCTCCTCACACATGTATTGACAGTTTGTAATTGCGATGATGAAGCTTTCTCAGCCCTCATTACGGAATCTAAATGCATTATTATATTTTTCTATGAAGATTTTGTGACATTATTAATTAGAATGGTATAGTGGAAAGACACTATGTGCTGTGAAGCTACTTTTCCCTCTAAATAGAACTCTGCTGACTTGTTCAGTCTCTGATGTTTCTCTCCATATGTTTTTCTACTATACTAGCCAGCAAGTCTTACCTCTCACAAGTCAGAAGTGTTTTGTGTGGTGTCAGTGACCCTGCCTGCCATCTGTTGAAGCAGATGATGTCTCTGTAATTCTAGTAGTTTTAGAAAATAATAGTTGGGAAGAATTCAGACTAGTAATTTTGAAAGTACGCTTATTATATAGTCTCCCATCCTTTAGCCATCTGCTCTATTCTTCTACCTATCTCCTTCCCTACGTTAGTCCCTAGCACCGCCTCGTCCTCTTCTTTTTCCCTCCCTCTCACTAGTAAGGCAGCAGAGAGCCACTTACCTCCATCTTGGTCACTCATAGTGAGGGGCAGAAGACCGAGTACACACACCATCTTCGCCACCACTGTTGTCGTCTTCCCCATCATCTTTTTTTCTGCTCGTCCTTGTCAGAGATTTATTCTCGTCTATTTCTTTCTTGTTCCCTTCCGAGTGATTTACTTGTTATCTTATTTTTCTTCGTTGCTTTATTTCCCTTTCTCACCTTATTTATTTCGTCTCTGATTTATACTTTGGGTTTCTCTCGGCTGCTCTGTTTTCGTTTTCTCCTTCTTTTTCGTTGATATATTTCATCATTTTATTATATCATCTTTAACTCAATGGTAAAGTATTTTTTTGTATGTGAAAGTATTCATTTTTGTTCACTGGTTTCTTACGTAGCTAATTTTCAGCTTCTTGATGTTGCTGTCTCCTATACTCTACCGTTTTGTGATTTATTCTCATATTTCAAAGTTTATATTTTTTTGGATTTACTGATATTTTTGGAGTTCACTGTTTTGTGCTCAGTTATGTTTTTATTCACTTTTTTGTCTGCACTTATTTTTGATATGTGTGTTCACTTGTTTAATACGTTAAAAGAAAACAAGATTTCATGACATCTTTATTGATGTGGGTTCTTTTTTACTTGCTATAGAATCGCTGATCATCACTCTGTCTTTCCGAATAATTGTTTTATTTGGCTGTGTTTCACTTGTATCTTTCCAGTTTGGTTTGTTACTGTTCTAACTTAGACAATATTTATTCTGTTCCCTGTCTTGTTACCTTTAGTGTACTCTGAGAAAATAAACTGAACCATTTAGTTTTCAGAAGATTCGTAGCATATTTTTTTGCATTTTCGCCCTCCCTCTCGTTATATATTTACACTTCTTTTTACCTACAGTTTCTTTTGAAGCCTGTTAATCAAATATTCTCTTAGTCTCTTTTGCGCTTCAAATATATTGAATTCCTGTGTCAGTTTTGTTGTGGTAGAATTAATTTTCATAACCCGGTTTCATGTTCTTTTAGTGTGTTGCTTCACCACATGTGTTGACCAGACCAGTGTGTGTTGCTTCACCACAGGTGTTCACCAGACCAGTGTGTGTTGCTTCACCACAGGTGTTGACCAGACCAGTGTGTGTTGCTTCACTACAGGTGTTGACCAGACCAGTGTGTGTTGCTTCACCACAGGTGTTCACCAGACCAGTGTGTGTTGCTTCACCACAGGTGTTGACCAGACCAGTGTGTGTTGCTTCACCACAGGTGTTCACCAGACCAGTGTGTGTTGCTTCACCACAGGTGTTGACCAGACCAGTGTGTGTTGCTTCACTACAGGTGTTGACCAGACCAGTGTGTGTTGCTTCACCACAGGTGTTGACTAGACCAGTGTGTTTTGCTTCACCATAGGTGTTGATCAGACCCGACCCGTGTGTGTTGCTTCACCACGGGTGTTGACCAGACCAGTGTGTGTTGCTTCACCACAGGTGTTGACCAGACCAGTGTGTGTTGATTCACCAAGGGTGTTGTCCAGACCAGTGAGTGTTGCTTCACCACAGGTGTTGACCAGACCAGTGTGTGTTGCTTCACCACAGGTGTTGGCCAGACCAGTGTGTGTTGCTTCACTACAGGTGTTGACCAGACCAGTGTGTGTTGCTTCACCACGGGTGTTGTCCAGACCAGTGTGTGTTGCTTCACCACAGGTGTTGACCAGACCAGTGTGTGTTGCTTCACCACAGGTGTTCACCAGACCAGTTGTGTTGTTGCTTCACCACAGGTGTTGACCAGACCAGTGTGTGTTGCTTCACCACAGGTGTTCACCAGACCAGTGTGTGTTGCTTCACCACAGGTGTTGACCAGACCAGTGTGTGTTGCTTCACCACAGGTGTTGACCAGACCAGTGTGTGTTGATTCACCACGGGTGTTGTCCAGACCAGTGAGTGTTGCTTCACCACAGGTGTTGACCAGACCAGTGTGTGTTGCTTCACCACAGGTGTTGGCCAGACCAGTGTGTGTTGCTTCACCACAGGTGTTGACCAGACCAGTGTGTGTTGCTTCACCACAGGTGTTGACCAGACCAGTGTGTGTTGCTTCACCACAGGTGTTGACCAGACCAGTGTGTGTTGATTCACCACGGGTGTTGTCCAGACCAGTGAGTGTTGCTTCACCACAGGTGTTGACCAGACCAGTGTGTGTTGCTTCACCACAGGTGTTGACCAGACCAGTGTGTGTTGCTTCACCAAAGGTGTTGACCAGACCAGTGTGTGTTGCTACACCAAAGGTGTTGATCAGACCCGACCACCCGTGTGTGTTGCTTCACCACGGGTGTTGACCAGACCAGTGTGTGTTGCTTCACCACATGTGTTGACCAGACCAGTGTGTGTTGCTTCACCACGGGTGTTGACCAGACCAGTGTGTGTTCCTTTACCACAGGTGTTGACCAGACCAGTGTGTGTTGCTTCACCACAGGTGTTGACCAAACCAGTGTGTGTTGCTTCACCACAGGTGTTGACCAGAGTAGTATGTGTTCCTTCACCACAGGTGTTGACCAGACCAGCGTGTGTTGCTTGCCCACGGGTGTTGACCAGACCAGTGTGTGTTAGCTCACCACGGGTGTTGACCAGATCAGTGTGTGTTGCTTCACCACGGGTGTTGACCAGACCAGTGTGTTGCCTCACCACGGGTGTTCACTAGACCAGTGTGTGCTGCTTCACTGCGGGTGTTGACGAGACCTGTGTGTGTAGTTTCACCACAGGTGTTGACCAGACCAGCGTGTGTTGCTTCACCACGGGTGGTGACCAAACCAGTGTGTTGTTGCACTACGGGTGTTGACCAGACCAATGTGTTCCTTAACCACACGAGGTGATCAGGACAGTGTGTTGCTGCACTAAGGGTGGTGACCAGACGAGTTTGTTGCTGCACTAAGGGTGGTGACCAGTGTTGCTGCTGCACCACGGGTGGTGGCCAGGCCATTGTGTTGCTGCACTACGGGTGGTGACTGTGAGTTGTTGCACCATGGGTGGAGACCAGACCAGTGTGTGTTGCACTACGGATGGTGACCAGACCAGTGTGTTGCTGCACTACGGATGGTGACCAGACAAGCGTGTTGCTACACTACGGGTGATAATCAGACCAGTGTGTTCCTGTACTATGGGTGGTAACCAGACCAGTGAGTTGCTGCACTACGGGTGGTGACCAGACCGTTGTGTTGCTGCACTACGGGTGGTGACCAGACCAGTGTATTGCTTTATTACGAGTTTGGAGCAGACCAGTGTGTTGCTGTACTACGGGTGATGACCAGACCAGTGTGTTGCTGCACTACGGGTGGTGACCAGACCAGTGTGTTGCTGCACTGCGGTTGTTGACCAGACCAGTGTGTTGCTGCACTACGGGTGATGACCAGACCAGTGTGTTGCTGCACAACGGGTGGTGACCAGACCGTTGTGTTGCTGCACTACGGGTGGTGACCAGACCACTGTGTTGCTGCACTACGGGTGGTGACCAGACCACTGTGTTGCTGCACTACGGGTTATGACCAGACCAGTATGTTGCTGCACTACGTGTGATGACCAGACCAGTGTGTTGCTGCACTACGGGTGGTGACCAGACCACTGTGTTGCTGCACTACGGGTGGTGACCAGACCAGTGTGTTGCTGCACTACGGGTGGTGACCAGACCAGTGTGTTGCTGCACTACGGGTGATGACCAGACCAGTGTGTTGCTGCACTACGGGTGATGACCAGACCACTGTGTTGCTGCACTACGGGTGGTGACCAGACCACTGTGTTGCTGCACTACGGGTGATGACCAGACCACTGTGTTGCTGCACTACGGGTGATGACCAAACCACTGTGTTGCTGCACTTCGGGTGATGACCAGACCACTGTGTTGCTGCACTACGGGTGATGACCAGACCAGTGTGTTGCTTCTGCACTACTGGTGATGACCAGACCAGTGTGTTGCTGCACTACGGGTGATGACCAGACCACTGTGTTGCTGCACTACGGGTGATGACCAGACCAGTGTGTTGCTTCTGCACTACTGGTGATGACCAGACCAGTGTGTTGCTGCACTACGGGTGGTGACCAGATCACTGTGTTGCTGCACTACGGGTTATGACCAGACCACTGTGTTGCTGCACTACGGGTGATGACCAGACCAGTGTGTTGCTGCACTACGGGTGATGGCCAGACCAGTGTGTTGCTGCACTACGTGTGATGACCAGACCAGTGTGTTGCTGCACTACGGGTGGTGACCAGACCAGTGTGTTGCTGCACTACGGGTTATGACCAGACCAGTATGTTGCTGCACTACGGGTGGTGACCAGACCAGTGTGTTGCTGCACTACGTGTGATGACCAGACCACTGTGTTGCTGCACTCCGGGTGGTGACCAGATCACTGTGTTGCTGCACTACGGGTTATGACCAGACCAGTATGTTGCTGCACTACGTGTGATGACCAGACCAGTGTGTTGCTGCACTACGGGTGGTGACCAGACCAGTGTGTTGCTGCACTACGGGTGGTGACCAGACCAGTGTGTTGCTGCACTACGGGTGATGGCCAGACCAGTGTGTTGCTGCACTACGGGTGGTGACCAGACCACTGTGTTGCTGCACTACGGGTGATGACCAGAGCAGTGTTGCTGCACTACGGGTGGTGACCAGACCACTGTGTTGCTGCACTACGGGTGATGACCAGACCAGTGTGTTGCTGCACTACGGGTGGTGACCAGACCACTGTGTTGCTGCACTACGGGTGATGACCAGACCACTGTGTTGCTGCACTACGGGTGATGACCAGAGCAGTGTGTTGCTGCACTACGGGTGGTGACCAGACCACTGTGTTGCTGCACTACGGGTGGTGACCAGACCAGTGTGTTGCTGCACTACGGGTGGTGACCAGACCACTGTGTTGCTGCACTATGGGTGGTGACCAGACCACTGTGTTGCTGCACTACGGGTGGTGACCAGACCACTGTGTTGCTGCACTACGGGTTATGACCAGACCAGTGTGTTGCTGCACTACGGGTGATGATCAGACCACTGTGTTGCTGCACTCCGGGTGGTGACCAGACCAGTGTGTTGCTGCACTACGGGTGGTGACCAGACCAGTGTGTTGCTGCACTACGGGTGGTGACCAGACCAGTGTGTTGCTGCACTACGTGTGATGACCAGACCACTGTGTTGCTGCACTACGGGTGATGACCAGACCAGTGTGTTGCTGCACTACGGGTGATGACCAGACCACTGTGTTGCTGCACTACGGGTGATGACCAGACCAGTGTGTTGTTGCACTACGGGTGGTGACCAGACCACTGTGTTGCTGCACTACGGGTGATGACCAGACCACTGTGTTGCTGCACTACGGGTGGTGACCAGACCAGTGTGTTGCTGCACTACGGGTGATGACCAGACCAGTGTGTTGCTGCACTACGGGTGGTGACCAGACCACTGTGTTGCTGCACTACGGGTGATGACCAGACCACTGTGTTGCTGCACTATGGGTGATGACCAGACCAGTGTGTTGCTGCACTACGGGTGGTGACCAGACCACTGTGTTGCTGCACTACGGGTGATGACCAGACCAGTGTGTTGCTGCACTACGGGTGGTGACCAGACCACTGTGTTGCTGCACTACGGGTGATGACCAGACCACTGTGTTGCTGCACTACGGGTGATGACCAGATCACTGTGTTGCTGCACTACGGGTGATGACCAGACCACTGTGTTGCTGCACTACGGGTGGTGACCAGACCACTGTGTTGCTGCACTACGGGTGATGACCAGACCACTGTGTTGCTGCACTACGGGTGATGACCAGACCACTGTGTTGCTGCACTACGGGTGATGACCAGACCAGTGTGTTGCTGCACTACGGGTGGTGACCAGACCACTGTGTTGCTGCACTACGGGTGATGACCAGACCAGTGTGTTGCTGCACTACGGGTGGTGACCAGACCACTGTGTTGCTGCACTACGGGTGATGACCAGACCACTGTGTTGCTGCACTACGGGTGATGACCAGATCACTGTGTTGCTGCACTACGGGTGGTGACCAGACCACTGTGTTGCTGCACTCCGGGTGGTGACCAGACCACTGTGTTGCTGCACTACGGGTGGTGACCAGACCACTGTGTTGCTGCACTCCGGGTGGTGACCAGATCACTGTGTTGCTGCACTACGGGTGATGATCAGACCACTGTGTTGCTGCACTACGTGTGATGACCAGACCACTGTGTTGCTGCACTACGGGTGGTGACCAGACCAGTGTGTTGCTGCACTACGTGTGATGACCAGAGCAGTGTGTTGCTGCACTACGGGTGGTGACCAGACCAGTGTGTTGCTGCACTACGTGTGATGACCAGACCAGTGTGTTGCTGCACTACGGGTGATGACCAGACCAGTGTGTTGCTGCACTACGGGTGATGACCAGAGCAGTGTGTTGCTGCACTACGGGTGGTGACCAGACCACTGTGTTGCTGCACTACGGGTGGTGACCAGACCACTGTGTTGCTGCACTACGGGTGATGACCAGACCACTGTGTTGCTGCACTACGGGTGATGACCAGACCACTGTGTTGCTGCACTACGGGTGATGACCAGACCAGTGTGTTGCTGCACCAGGGGTTTGATGACCAGACCACTGTGTTGCTGCACTACGGGTAATGACCAGACCACTGTGTTTGCTGCACACGGGTGGTGACCAGACCACTGTGTTTGCTGCACAAACGGTGGTGACCAGACCACTGTGTTGCTGCACTACGGGTGGTGACCAGACCACTGTGTTGCTGCACTACGGGTAATGACCAGACCACTGTGTTGCTGCACTTCGGTTGATGACCATACCACTGTGTTGCTGCACTACGGGTAATGACCAGACCAGTGTGTTGCTGCACTACGGGTGATGACCAGACCAGTGTGTTGCTGCACTACGGGTGGTGACCAGACCACTGTGTTGCTGCACTACGGGTAATGACCAGACCAGTGTGTTGCTGCACTACTGGTGATGACCAGACCACTGTGTTGCTACACTACGGGTGGTGACCAGACCACTGTGTTGCTGCACTACGGGTGATGACCAGACCAGTGTGTTGCTGCACTACGGGTGATGACCAAACCACTGTGTTGCTGCACTTCGGTTGATGACCAGACCACTGTGTTGCTGCACTACGGGTGGTGACCAGACCAGTGTGTTGCTGCACTACGGGTAATGACCAGACCAGTGTGTTGCTGCACTACGGGTGGTGACCAGACCAGTGTGTTGCCTGCACTATGGGTGGGGGACCAGACCAGTGTGTTGCTGCACTACGGGTGGTGACCAGACCAGTGTGTTGCTGCACTACGGGTGGTGACCAGACCAGTGTGTTGCTGCACTATGGGTGGTGACCAGACCAGTGTGTTGCTGCACTACGGGTGGTGACCAGACCACTGTGTTACTGCACTACGGGTGGTGACCAGACCACTGTGTTGCTGCACTATGGGTGGTGACCAGACCACTGTGTTACTGCACTACGGGTGGTGACCAGACGACTGTGTTACTGCACTACGGGTGGTGACCAGACCAGTGTGTTGCTGCACTATGGGTGGTGACCAGACCAGTGTGTTGCTGCACTACGGGTGGTGACCAGACCAGTGTGTTGCTGCACTACGGGTGGTGACCAGACCACTGTGTTACTGCACTACGGGTGGTGACCAGACCACTGTGTTGCTGCACTATGGGTGGTGACCGGGACCACTGTGTTACTGCACTAACGGGTGGTGACCAGACCACTGTGTTACTGCACTACGGGTGGTGACCAGACCAGTGTGTTGCTGCACTATGGGTGGTGACCAGACCACTGTGTTACTGCACTACGGGTGGTGACCAGACCACTGTGTTACTGCACTACGGGTGGTGACCAGACCAGTGTGTTGCTGCACTATGGGTGGTGACCAGACCAGTGTGTTGCTGCACTACGGGTGGTGACGAGACCACTGTGTTGCTGCACTACGGGTGGTGACCAGACCAATGTGTTGCTGCACTACGGGTGGTGACCAGACCAGTGTGTTGCTGCACTACGGGTGGTGACCAGACCAGTGTGTTGCTGCACTACGGGTGGTGACCAGACCAGTGTGTTGTTGCACTACGGGTGGTGACCAGACCAGTGTGTTGCTGCACTACGGGTGGTGACCAGACCAGTGTGTTGCTGCACTACGGGTGGTGACCAGACCAGTGTGTTGCTGCACTACGGGTGGTGACCAGACCAGTGTGTTGCTGCACTACGGGTGGTGACCAGACCAGTGTGTTGCTGCACTACGGGTGGTGACCAGACCAGTGTGTTGCTGTACTACGGGTTTGGAGCAGACCGGTGTGTTGCTGCACTACGGGTGGTGACCAGACCAGTGTGTTGCTGCACTACGGGTGGTGACCAGACCAGTGTGTTGCTGCACTACGGGTGGTGACCAGACCAGTGTGTTGCTGCACTATGGGTGGTGACCAGACCAGTGTGTTGCTGCACTACGGGTGGTGACCAGACCAGTGTGTTGCTGCACTACGGGTGGTGACCAGACCAGTGTGTTGCTGCACTATGGGTGGTGACCAGACCAATGTGTTGCTGCACTACGGGTGGTGACCAGACCAGTGTGTTGCTGCACTATGGGTGGTGACCAGACCAATGTGTTGCTGCACTACGGGTGGTGACCAGACCAGTGTGTTGCTGCACTATGGGTGGTGACCAGACCACTGTGCTACTATGTCTCTTTTAATTAGATGTAACTTTTTTAAGTCTAATCAGTTAATTTTTTTTTCTTTTCTTCTTTTTTATCACTCAACATATTTTTTTTTTATTTTATAATGTGATTAATGATTTTCTTTAATGACGTAATGGTTTTTCCTCTATTTCATCAACATCACTTGATATTATCCACAAGAAATATCCCATCAGGTGTAGACCATTGTAGCAGATTGATTCGTTACCTTCACTGGAGTCTGTTCATGTATCTGGTGACGCACACATGTCTCAGTGAAACATTTCAAATTGTATTAAGCTTGTTGGTAGTGTGTTCACACAGGGACACCGGTACAAAGTCGGCGCTGCCAGGCTAGTGGCTGGTCTGCGCTGCCAGGCTAGTGGCTGGTCTGCGCTGCCTGGCTAGTGGCTGGTCTGCGCTGCCAGGCTAGTGGCTGGTCTGCGCTGCCAGGCTAGGGGTTTGGTCTGCGCTGCCAGGCTAGTGGCTGGTCTGTGCTGCCAGGCTAGTGGCTGGTCTGCGCTGCCAGGCTAGTGGCTGGTCTGCGCTGCCAGGCTAGTGTTTGGTCTGCGCTGCCAGGCTAGTGGCTGGTCTGCGCTGCCAGGCTAGTGTTTGGTCTGCGCTGCCAGGCTAGTGGCTGGTCTGCGCTGCAGGCTAGTGGCTGGTCTGCGCTGCCAGGCTAGTGTTTGGTCTGCGCTGCCAGGCTAGTGGCTGGTCTGCGCTGCCAGGCTAGTGGCTGGTCTGCGCTGCCAGGCTAGTGTTTGGTCTGCGCTGCCAGGCTAGTGTTTGGTCTGCGCTGCCAGGCTAGTGGCTGGTCTGCGCTGCCAGGCTAGTGTTTGGTCTGCGCTGCCAGGCTAGTGGTTGGTCTGCGCTGCCAGGCTAGTGGCAGGTCTGTGCTGCCTGGCTAGTGGCTGGTCTGTGCTGCCTGGCTAGTGGCAGGTCTGCGCTGCCAGGCTAGTGGCTGGTCTGCACTGCCAGGCTAGTTGCTGGTCTGCGCTGCCAGGCTAGTGGTTGGTCTGCGCTGCCAGGCTAGTGGCAGGTCTGTGCTGCCTGGCTAGTGGCTGGTCTGTGCTGCCTGGCTAGTGGCAGGTCTGCGCTGCCAGGCTAGTGGCTGGTCTGCGCTGCCAGGCTAGTGGCTGGTCTGCGCTGCCAGGCTAGTGGCTGGTCTGTGCTGCCTGGCTAGTGGCAGGTCTGCGCTGCCAGGCTAGTGGCAGGTCTGTGCTGCCTGGCTAGTGGCAGGTCTGCGCTGCCAGGCTAGTGGCTGGTCTGCGCTGCCAGGCTAGTGGCCGGTTTGCGCTGCCAGGCTAGTGGCTGGTCTGCGCTGCCAGGCTAGTGGCTGCTGACATCTATTTTGAATTATTTTCTAGTGAATAAAGTCACTGAACACTGGTTTATTTTTTTCCTCATCTGTTCGCACATTTGTGAATTATGAATATCTTTAGTTTTTATATACTTCACTGCTTAGCCTTCATCTTGATTTTCATAATGATTTTCACAGCGTTTTAGCTTTTATAATTCAGTTATTATTTCATGAGTTGTGTCTTTGATAACTTAGGTTTTGCAGTATTGTCAGTAACATGTGAGTTGTGTTTATAGTGTTTCAGCTTTCACAGTTGATGGAACGCGAATATTGTTGTCCTGGCGTCGTGGGTTCATTCACTGCACAACACACAGTTGACCTGGAATACATCAAGGACACGTATTAGAAACAGACTTGGTTATATCACAATGTAAACTAAATCGTATCAGAAAGCTAGTGAAGATTTGTTTAATAATGAGTTTATCATATCATATAAATTATGAATTCTCAATGGTCAGTACGCTGAGGTCAGTGGTCACGTGTGGTCATACCTGCCTAAGCTCTTTGGAGTTAGCATGGGCTGTTACCAAGTACCATGGCTTGTTGTAGTGTTTTAGAATCTCAGGTTCAAGTGTTAAGGAGATTCTTCTTCTTCAGGAGGAAAATAGGAACCTGAAGCTTCGCATAGACGAGTTTGGGAGTGAGTGTGAAAAGGATTTAGCTGGTAAGGAGGAAATGGTCACCAGCAGTGATAGTGGCAGCTGCTTTAAGTGGCAAGTGGTTCAGAGTTCAGGAAGAAGGAAGATGAGGGGAGTTAACAGAGAACTGTGAAGGAGGAAATAGATTCTTGTTTTTCCCAAAAAGGGGGGACTTCATGGTTAGTGGTGTTTAAGGGACCCCTGATTCCCTGCTAAACAAGGGAAAATATTTTAATAGTAGGTGATTCTCGGTGATATATGGACGTTTTTGTAAAGAGACAGACAGGTCAAAGGAGTGTCCTTCCTGGGTGGTGTGGTGAAAAGTCAGAGGTTTGATAATATTATGGCAGGTAATGGAACTTCCATTATTGTTTTTTACACAAAAAACCGACTAAAAGAGAGAAGTTACGCGACGTTTCGGTCCCACTTGGAATTACCCAAAACACTAACCAGAAATGGGGCGGACGGCTTATATGGCAGGAAGGGGTGGTGGTGGTGTTGTAGTAGTAGAGTAGAAGTGTGTAGGTAGTTTGTTGTGTAGTAGTAGAAAAGGTAGTAGTGTGGGGTTATTTATTGTCATGTGGGGGTAAAGACCCTTCCCAAGGGCAGGGAGAGGAGTTGCTGGGTAAGTACAGGTAGCCATAGAAGTTGTTTGGTTAAAGGGAGGGATCCCAGTCATAGTGCATCTTGCCTAGAAAGGGAGTGGGCCAAAAAAAAAGGGTGTTAGGGAATGGTAAAATTGCTGGCTAGACAGGTTTTGCAATGAATTGCAAACCTTATTGATAACTGGGACTTTTCTTTGGCAACGTGGTATGTATGCAAGGGATGGGGTTCATCTCTTGGGGAGGGAAAGGGGGAATGCATTGGGCCAAATTCGTTTTTGAGAGGGTAATTGAGATTTGGGTCTAGGAATTTAAACGATAGAGTATAGGGGTATGGGTGTTTGGGGGAAAACCAATCAGGCTACAGCATTTATTCCGGGTTACCTCAGGGATATGTTTAAAAGATAATATTAAAAAATTAAATTTGGGTTTTAGTAATGGCCAAATAAATTTTGATCAAAAAAAGAAGAGTTTATGTAGGGGAAAAAAGAGGGGTAGCTCCCTTAAGGTTTATTATACAAATAGGGGGAGTTTTAAGAAATAGATAGATGAGCAAAAGGGATTCCCTTGCAAGTGTGGGAAATATAGATCAAAATTGGTTTTAACGGGAGCCTGGTTCAACCTAAAAAGATAGAAAAAAAGGGGCCTTCAAAATTGCAAAAACGGGGTTTTTAAAAACCTTTTCCCAAAATGATAGGGTCAACGGAAGGGGGGTTTGGTTGTGGCGTTTGTATGTCAGAGAAATTTAAATTGTTGTCTTAGACATGATAAAAGATTAAAAACTTTCCAAACACAGAATCTGTTTGGTTTACAGTTTCTCGAGGGACTTGACAAATTAATTTTGGGTGTGATTTTTCCCCCCCAAAACCCTTGATAGGGGGGTTTTAGTAAGTGCTATGGGACAAAAACTTCATAAGGCATCTGATATAAAAAATTGTTGTGTTGGGAAGGATTTTAAACTTTAGACAAATTGTTTTGGGAAACAACATGCGGGAAATCTTGAGTCTAGTAAATTTCTTCATTCCGGTTCAGGATTGTTTTTTTGGAACGGTTGAGACAGAACCAACTAGGGGAAAAAAATCGGGCTTGATTTGGTTCTTGCCAAAAAAGTTTCCTAATTAATAATCTTGGGGTTTTAATGGGGAGCTTGGGGAAAAGTGATAACAAATACTTAGTTTAAATATTTACGGAATTACCCGATAACTGCAATAAAATCTCTGTCCCGATTTTCGTTTGGGCCCGGGACTTTTGGGGAAACTGAAAAATTCCCCAGGGTGACCCAAAATTTTGGGTTTGTCCCTGCTATGGGTCAGGCAGGTGGTGTTGGTTCCCCAATTTGCCTTTTTTCAGAGCTTTAGTTCTAGTGCCAGACAACTTTTGTTCCCAGTGGGGGAAAATTTAGATCTAACAAAAATTTTTTACCCCAAAGGGTTTGAAAAATTTGATTAAAACATCTCATTGGTCAAAAGAGAGGTATATAGGGGTTTCAAAAGAGGGGATGGGCAGTTAAGAAATCCGTACAATTTAATTTAAAAAGAGAAAAAAAAGAAATAAAAAGAAAAGCAAAAAGGGATTAGAGGGCTAAGGTCGCAAAAGGGGTTTAAAGGGCCCAACCCCAAAAAGGGGTTTTTTCAGGTTACAGAAAATAAGATTAGGGAAAAAGATTGGCCCTTAAGAGTAAATCTGGTCAGTCATGACCCGGATTTAAGGGTATGGGGTGTAATTTCAATTTCCTAATTTCCTCGTTTTACCCCTAATTTTACTAGGGGTTTTTCCTGAAATAAATTTGATTATGTAGAACGGACGATAATAAACTATGCAGATTGAGGTAACTAGTGGGCCTGGTCCCCAGGGCAATTAGAGAAACAAAAAACCAAAAATCCCCGGTTGATGAAATGTTTGCCCAAAGGGGGTTTAAAGGAAAATTTTAAAAAAAAGGGGAACTTAACATACCTTTGACAATCTTTTTTTAAAAAAACCCCTTTCAAAAACCCGGGTTTGTGCCTGATTTAAATGGGGAAAAAGGCCAAAAATAATCCCTTTTTTCAAGGCAGGGGGACAGGTCCTTGGGGTTACAATTGGGCCAAAAAGCCTTTTTTTTTCTTCCATAGTGGGGGAAAATTTTTTGGGAAACAATAATTGCCGAAGAATTCCCAAGGCCTTTTTGTTTGGCCAGATTGATTAACGAAATCTTAAAATGGTTTTTTCAAAGGGGCTTTCCCGGGCTTAGAATTTTTCTAACTTTTTTTACTAAGGGGTTTTTAGGAAGTAGACTTGGGAAAGAATAAGATATTTTTGTATATGGGGGGTTTTGTGAGGCTTTCGATGAGTTTCACACCAGGGCATTGAGGAAAACTTGTAAAGCAAAAAGAAATAGGAGCAGAATTTTTTCTGGGTAGGGGCATGGCTGACAAATATGCAGCGGGGAGTTTTCATAAATGGGAAGAAATAGGGAAAGGGGGGGACGTCCCCAAAAACGGTGTTCCTTCCCGGGGCGTGTTGGGTCCGTTGTTCTTCAAAAATTTACATAAACGACTAGAAAGAGGGAATAAACAGCGACAAAAAGCCAAAAATTTTCTGTTTACACCCAAAAAAGGCCGTCCAATTCATTCTAATGAGGCACTAGGGAAATCCAGGTGATTTGAATGGGGTTTCCCAAAGGTCGGGGAAGTGGCAGATGGGGAGGGTTTTATTGACCAAAAAAGCAAAGTTCAAATGTTGGACAGGTAAAAAACCCTTTCCCATATAAACTAAAAAAATGTTGA